TCTCACCCACCCAATGCACAGCTTCTTCAGTCTGCTGCAGGGTGGGGACTGCGGAATCTCCAGGCCATGCAGGACCAACAGACTGAAAGACTGCTTCATCCATATGGCTCTCAGGAAACTGAACTCTCTCCCAGCTCTGCCACCACTCCCCTCTCCCTCCCCATGCACCTTTGGACTCTGACACATATGAAAACACACACACACACATACACACTTACATCTCTGGTCACTTTATGCACCATTGGACTACCTCCCTATATATCATGACGCTGTCACTTTATCATAATTACATTTACAATTACATTTTATGTATGATTGTATTTATTGTAAATTCTTTCTTAAGACTCTACTTTTTGTATTAACATTATATGTTAGGCACCTATAGGGTCTGAGAGTAACGTAATTTCGATTCATGTGGTTGAATTGACAATAAAGCTGACTGTGACTTTGACACTGTGACCTAATAACCAATATTTTTTTCTGATTTTCAGATTATTGGAAATGCAATTGTATCCCGTAAACTGACTGCGCACATCTCCTTCACCAACCCCTTACCTATTAATCTTCAAGGGGGTGTGTTTACTGTGGAGGGAGCAGGACTAACAGAGGCCAGAGAAATAAAAACACAGTATGTACTGGTATTAGAAACTAACTGTCTTATAAACCCAAGTTATGGTTGTTAATGTATGCATGTTGGTCTTTATAGTGGCAAGATTGAATCTGGGCAGACTGTGACTGTTAAATTCTCCTTCAAACCCACCCGCGCTGGCCTGAGGAAACTGCTCGTGGACTTTGACTCGGACAGACTTAGAGATGTCAAGGGAGAAGCCTCTGTCATTGTTCGGACAAGAATGCGACATGTAAATGCTGTCCCAGAAATTTAGACAAGCATGCACAGTTCAGAGAAGTGCACATCAGAATACTTCACTGTAAATGTAGTTAATGCGATATACTCAATGACAGCTCTTTTGCTTATTACATCATTTGTTGGCTGTTTGTTTATCCTGAGGAGTTCTCTTTATAATTACTTTATGACGTCACTATGATATTTTACCATGCTTTCTTTCATGCAGACCTTGAATATAAGAACCACAAAAGCTATTTTTGTAAAATGCAGAGTTATGTGAATACACGCTTGCTTTTATTATATAAAATGTTAATCTGATTAAGAAATTTGTGAAGTAATTGTTTTTTTACTTTCTGTATAATGTTGTTGTGTTTGAATTGAAAATAAAATACATACTTTTAATTATGAAAGCCATATTTGTTCACCTTGTTGTTTATCACTGTTTATAAAAACTATTTTAGCATATGTTTAGGTTTTAGGTTTGGCTAATTATTACAATGTATGCTTGTCTTACTGCATTACACCATGGTCACAAGCCTCTTTAACCACATAGAAGCCTATTGATTTGATATATTAACAAGCAATCGGTTTTCTATGTTGAAGCAACCAAATTTTGGAATGATTTACCTGTTAGCCTAAAATTAAAAGGTAATCTAAAAGTTTTAAGTTGTGTACTTAAAAAGTGGTTAAAAACAAACAGCAGTGTTTGCACAAATAGTCTATTAGATTGTTTGATACTGCCGCCTTTGCTATTGCCTTACAATTTAATGTAAAGAATTATAATGTTGTGTATATTTATCTATTTTATTTTTATTTTATGTCAAGCCTCCTGTGAATAGGTGTTGAGAATTAGCAAGTCTACTACAACACTTAAATAAATGCGTTGCTGTCCAGTGTAATTGTGTCAAATGAATAAAAAAACTGAACACTTTGGGCTGTTGTAGCATTATGCATTACACAATTTTTGATGTCAACAATGATGTCATCACTCACAGGAATTAATTCTTAAAACCAAAAATATATGTAGATTTTTAAGTCAGTAAAAAAAAAAAAAAAAATACATAATCCTTATTTCATTTCCTTTTCTTGTTCACTCAACTTTCAAAAACATCTTCTGCACTGACCTAAATTATTTGTCAGTATTACAAAAAACATTTAGTTAGGTTAACAGATGATTATTAGTTTTCTCAAGTGGTGAACTACTCTAACAAAACTTTTTAAGTTTTGCCAACTGAAAGGTTTTCTCTGCAAAACTTGAATGCCTCGGGTTGAGTGAAAAAACAAAACATAATACTTATCCCTTTTGTATTTTCATGTGTACTCAACATTTTTAGCCTATTGGTAAAGTGTGCTGACTTTTAACAGTTGCTCGAGTTAGTTCAGTTCCCTGAAGTTCCCTTGCTGATCCTTCCTCTCTCTAAGCTCCCTATTCCTCTTCTATCTCTACTGTCTTACAGAATATAGGTAAAAATAAAATATCTGAAATATATTTATTAAAAAACTCGATTGTATGTTTATGATGGTCTAGGATCAGCATTACTGAATTTACACTGTATTAAAATGATGATGATGCTCCAGGATAAACACTAGTGAGCTCAAACTGCAAAAAAAAAAAAAAAATCATTGCCAGCTGCCTAGTGGTAGAGTGCGTTGTCATATAACACTGAGTTGCTTAGAGTGACCCGAGTTTGATTTCCACCTCAAAGTCCCTTGCTGATCCTTCCCCTCTCTCTGCTCCCTATGTATTCCTGTCCCATCTCTATTGTCCTTATAATACAGGTGAAAAAACCCAAAAGATATTTAAAAAAACTGTATTAAAGTGTATGATGATGGTCCAGGATAAACACTAGTGAACTCAAACTATAATAAAATGTCATTGCCGATAACCATGTGGTAAAGTGTGCTGATTTATAACACTGAGTTGCTCGGGGTGACCCCAGTTTTATCCCACCTCAAGATCCTTGACAATTATTCCTCTTTCTCTGCTCTTCGTATTCCTGTCCAATCTCTTCTGTCCTCTATAATGAAGGTGAAAAAAACTTATAAAAAAAAACTGTGATGGTCCAGGATTAACAATAGTGAATGTACACTGTATTGAAATGATTATAATGGTCCAGGATCAACATTAGTGAATTTATACTGTATTAAGATGTTTATGATGGTCCAGGATCAACAATAGTAAATTTACACTGTATTAAATTTTTTATGATACTCCTAAATAAACACTAGGGAACTCAAACTGTAATTAAATATCACTGCATATAGCCTAGTGGTAAAGTACACTGGCCTAACACTGTGTTGATTAAGGTGACCCGAGTTTGAATCCCACCTTCTGGGCCTTGCCGATCCTTTTACTCTCACAGCTTCTTAATGTTCCTGTCTGGTCTCTACTGTCCTATGTAATACAAGTGAGGAAACTCTAAATATATTTAGAAAAATAAACTGTTTTAAAATGATTATGATGGTCCAGGATCAACAACAATGAATTTACACTGTTTTAATGATTATGATGGTCCAGGATCAACAATATTGAATTTACACTGTATTATCCTGTTAATCGATAAAAAAATTAACCAATTAATCACACTTTTTTGCAATTAATCACGATTAATCACATTTAAAAGACTGAAACTTGTAATTTTGGCTATTCATATAACATTAATGTAAACACAAGACAAAAAAAAAACTATTAAAATTGGAAATATATTTGTTTATTAGAATTTTTGTTTAACTTGTAACACAGATTTCCTCATGTAAACAACATACACACAATAAACCAGCAAGATCTCGGCTTGACAGCCATATTTATTACAGAAAAAAAACACAGGCATGTTAGTGCCATGTGAAAGCTCTGTGATTGGTCGGCTTGGTATCAATGACGAGTCTGTGCGGGGCTGTGCAAGCACGATGGAGCGATTGTTTACAAGTGTGACGTCCCTTGAAGGAGCTCCGGATGGAAAGTTTTGTTTAGTGTTTACCTCATGGATAAAATTGTCCCAAAATTGTACCATCCTGCCTTAAAATGAGCGAGTTTGAGCCACTTTTACATTCAGGAAGCGTTCAGAAAAAACCAAACACCAAGGAAGTTGCTAAGACAGTCCAGTCTGTTGACATTATCTGAGGACAATGTGGCCCTTTTGTTTTGAATGATGTGAGCTGAGAGTGAGAACAGTCTCTTACAAGTAGAATCACTGAATAAGCATTTGAATTTTGGTGCCTAATTTTGTTGCCACTGGTGCTGCGAAAAGGAAGTAAGAAGCATCAAGCGGTACATCAAAGGCTCGCACTGGTACACATTATGTCACAAAGACTAATTCTTACGGGAACAATGGTCACAACATTTTTAAACATTTAAACAAATTTGAGGGATACGGACGGCAGCATCGGATGTTTAGGCATTTGTTCTTGTGTCTAGGAAACGTGTGCACGCGCACATACACACACGCACGCACGCACGCACGCGCGCACACGCACACACACACACACACACACACACACACACACACACACGCACACACACACATACACACACTCAACACAGGCAGCCGGAGCGACTCCCTTCAGATTCAATCTTACATATGTTAAGCCAGCATTTAAGGGACAGTTAACACAGAAATGAACATTTACTCGTTCACTTACACACAAGTGGTTCCAAACCCTTGAATTTCTTCTGTTGAACACAAAAGAAGGTATTTTGAAAAATGTTGTAAAAAAATTGGCCAAACTTTATTTTGCTGGTCAGTTTGTTGAATTTAAGTTACATTGTTTCTACAGTACATGCCAACTACAGTAATTCTCAGTAGACCGTTGGGTTGGGGTAAGGGTAAGTTGACATGTACTTGCAGAGTTTCTTATAGTCAGTTAAATGTCTATTAAAGCAGCAGTATCAGCAGATATTGGGCAGACAGTCTACTAATACTCAAATGGACCATCAAAATAAAGTGGTACCGAAAAAAACCACAATAGTAGGAACGAAAAATACTATGGAAGCCAACGGCTGCTTTTTTTCAACATTCTTCAGAATATCTTCCTGTACTGACATTATTAGGACCCACTGCACATTGTAACAAAGTGCTGCCATGCTTCTCTTGGATGGATATAAATTACAACAGGCTGAGCTTTACTGCTGAATGAGACACACACAAGACTTAAGTTTATTCAATTCACATTTATTGCAAGTGTTTGGCCTGCTGGGGTAATCAAGCTGAAATTGCCAAGTGGAGTGACCAATCACTGTTCTCAGTCAGAATGAGTGATCGGTCACACTACACTGTCTGGAGCGGTGATCGGTCACTCTTCTTTCTGGAGCAGTGATTGGTCACTCTGGGGATGATGAGTGGAGATTGTGAGGCAGGCCTTCTCGTCTGGAAAAGAACAGAGTCAAGAAAATCAGTGTCGATGTCTAAATGAACCTGAATTTGAGTATGAATTACCATGACCTCTGACCCACAGAGAATTCTATATAAACATATGTGTTACTAAGCTCAGTCATTTGTCATGTCACTTAAATGAGATAAATTACCTTTTAGAATGTGTCCACACTAGCTCCTGCTCCTGAAGTAGGCATAAGCAGCACAGACACCTATGCCGACTCCGACCCAGGTTGCTGGACTGCTTACCGTGGCTTTCACAGCACTTTTCACATTGTTGGAGATCCTTCTTCTCCATGAAGACTCGCTGTTCGCTCTCTCCTCTGTTTTTCCAGCTGCTTCTCTCTCTGTTTCTCCACTGGTCTTTTTCTCCTCTGTTTCTCCAGCTGCCTCTCTCTCCTCTGTTTCTCCACTGGTCTTTTTCTCCTCTGTTTCTCCAGCTGCCTCTCTCTCCTCTGTTTGTCTTTGAGAGCTGCTGTCATAATCTGAGAGGACCTCAGTTGTCTTGTCTGGGCCCCACATGATGATCAGAGGTTTATTCAGTAAATGAGTGAAGTTCAGAGCTTTTTGTGCTCGCACTGCATCACGTCGATGATGGAAAGTCACAAAGGCATACACAGGAGAGACGATGTTGTTTCTGCACACTTGCACAGTCGAGATGGACCCCAATGGACCAAACTTTTCAATAAGCTGTTGTTCGGTGACCATTGGGTGCAGATTGCTCACAAGCAGTGTCTTCCGCTCAATATAGTGGTATGTGGGGAGCACAGGATGAGGTTCCTGTTCCCGTCCTGAATGCTCAAAAGTCACATAAATGGATCTGCAATTATTGTCTTCATCATAGGACAGATCCAAAGAGTGGATTTGGGTGAACTGTTTCATTGACTCAATCAGTTCTTGTACGTTCACCTTTGGGTCCAAAGTCAGAACAACCAATGACCACTCGCGATTATGGTTGTCTGAAGACTGATTTAAGTGAGCATCCATAGCGAACGAGTCCTTCACAATCACAGATTTGTCTATTCGTACAGTAGCTGTGTGATCCACCAAGTTACTGTCCTGAATGCTGGCTGATGCGCTGTTCTAGTATGGAACACTAATATAGAACACATTCTGTGACTGTCGTTGCTAAGCAACCATCAGCTGAAAGCGCATGCACACACACAGGATTCTAAATTGTTTATGAATGAATCTTAGTTTGTTAAGTATTAGATAAAGTATTTATTACTATTGTTTTATCCTAAAGATGATTGTTTAATGTGCTCTTAATTATTATTCATTAGAAAAACCACCACTACTATGTTAATTGTTTTCATATGTCCTATTTAATGTAAACATCACAAATGCTTTGGAGGTACATATGTAACAATTGTCAAGCCAATAAAATAATCGGAAAACCGCACCCTCTGCATTGACTTTGTCCGTGTGTGTGTGTCGGTATTTTTAAAGGTTTAACATATACATCTATTGAAAATAACCAGTTTCTGTTGGTTTAGAGAAACTTTTAGCAGAAACCTTTGTCTCCTCAGCTGCTTCAGTTTATTTAATGAAGGATTGAGTGTGGAACATTTTCTTATCTGAAGATATTCGGTCACAGCACTAAACCTACCTGCAAGAGTGATTTATATTTGACTGAATAGAGTTGATAAAATAATAATATTCACGAGTGTAAAACTCCTAAATTCACCTCTCACACGATATCCCTTAATAATCTTCTGAATATATATAGAAATAAAGTATGTATGTATGTAAATATTATTAGTGCTGTCAATCGATTAAAAAACCTAATTAATCATGATTAATTACATTTAAAAGACTGAAACTTGTCATTTTGGCTATTCAAAAGTAAAATTAATGTAAACGCCAGACAAAAAACAATTCAAATTGTAAATATATTTGTTTAGAATTTTTAGAATTTTGTTTAACTTGTAACACAGATTTCCTCATGTAAACAACATACCCACAATAAACCAGCAAGATCCCAACTTGACAGCCATATTTATTACAGAAATAAAAACACAGGCATGTTAGTGCCATGTGAATTTCAAAACATTCAATGCCAATAAAGAAAAAATTGATTTCCATGTTGGATTCAAAGTGGACTGCAAAAAAAAACTATTTTGCTTAGTCCTCCTTTACATTTAGCCAGGTGCTAAGACAGTCCAGTCTGTTGACATTATCAGGGGACCTTGTGTTAATGTGGACCTTTTCTTTTGAATGATGTGAGCTGAGAGTGAGAACAGGCATGATCACAAGCAGGATCACTGAATCAGCATATGCACTTCGGTGCCTAATTTTGTTGCCACTGGTTCTGCCACAGGGATGTAAGAAGCATCAAAGGAGTACATAAAAGGCACGCACTGGAAGTATGCGTTGTGTCGCACCAAAGACTAATTCTTGCAGGGACTTTGGTCACAACATCTCTAAACATTTTATAACTTTTAGGGATATGGACGGCGAAATCTGTGTCGTTTAGGTGTTTGTTCTTTTTGCTAGGAAACGAAATAGACACAGACATACACTCACGCACACAAACAACACGCCCAGGACAGCACAGCCGGAGCGACTCCCTTCAGATTCAACATGCATGATCGTGTTCATCAAATTTGCTTAAACTAAGCGTTGTTAAGTCTAGCTGTAGTGAATTTACACTGTATTAAATGTTAATGGTCCACGATCAACAATATTGAATTTAAACTGTATTAAATGTTTTTAATGGTCCAGGATCAACATTTGTGAATTTACGCGGTATCAAAATGTTTATGATGGTCCAGGATCACCTTTAGTGAGTTTACACTGTATTAAATGTTTTTGATGGTCCAGGATCAACAATAGTGAATTTACACTGTATTAAAATGTTAATGATGGTCCAGGATCAACACTAGGCAACTTAAATTGTGAGGAAACAACCTTCTCCAGTAGCCTAGTGGTAAAGTACTGTGGCTTGTAACACTGGTCTGATCAAGGTGATTCAAGTTCGATTGCCATCCCATGTGTCTTGCTGATCTTTCCTCTCTGCCAGTTCTCAGAGTAACCTTCGTCAGTTGTCTTGTGTAATAAAAATGATCAAACTCCAAAGATATTGAGAAAAAAAAAATATTAAAAAGTTTTTGTTGGTCCAGGATCAACAATAGTGAATTTACTCTGTATTAAAATGTTTATGATGGTCCAGGATCAACACTAGAGAACTCAAACTGTGATCAATACTCATCATCAGGGGCCTAGTGGTAAAGTGCTCTGGATTGTAACACTGATTTGCTTAAGGTGACTCGAGTTCAATTCCCGCCTCATGTGTCCTGCCGATCTTCCATCTCTCACAGTTCTCAGTAATCCTCTTCAGTTTGTTTTTTTAAATAAAAATAATCAAAGTCTAAAGATATTCAGAAAAAAAACTATTAAAATGTTTATGATGGTCCATGATCAACACTAGGGAATTCAAACTGTGATCAATAATCAATTCTAGTAGCCTAGTGGTAAAGTGCTCTCTCTTGTAATACTGACCCTCTCTCTCAGTACTCAGAACATCAATCTTCGAATGTCTTGTGTAATAAAATGATCAAACTCTAAAGATATTCAGAAAAAATATATATATAAATGTTTATGGTGGTCCAGGATCAACAATAGTGAATTTACACTGTATTAAAATAATGATGGTACAGAATCAACAATACTGTATTTAAATGTTTCTGATGGTCCAGGATCACCTTTAGTGAATTTACACTGTATTAAAATAATGATGGTCCAGGATCCACAATACTGAATTTACACTGTGTTGAAATCTTTATGATGGTCCAGGATCAACATTGGTGAATTTAAACTATTAAATGTTTTTGATGGTCCAGGATCAACAATAGTCAATTTACGCTGTATTAAAATGTTTATAATGGTCCAGGATCACCTTTAGTGAGTTTACACAGTGTTAAATGTATTTAATGGTCCAGGATCAACAATTATGAATTTACACTGTATTAAATTGTTTATGATGGTCCAGGATCACCTTTAGTGAGTTTACATGGTATTAAATGTATTTAATGGTCCAGGACCAACAATAGTGAATTTACCTTGTATTAAAATGTTGTTGGTCCAGTATCAACATTAGTGAATTTACACTGTATTGAATGTTTTTGATGGTCAAGGATCAACAATTGTGAGTTTACCCTGTATTAAAATGTTTATGATGGTCCAGTATCAACATTAGTGAATTTACACTGTATTATATGTGTATTATATGTGTAGAGCAACCAACTCCCATGTGGAAGGCCGCTGGTTCGATCCCAGCTCGGAATGGGTTTGGTGGTGTAGGACTGGCGGGGTTACACTAGCCGTTTGAGCATGTGTTTGGGTCTCCATGCCTGCAGCTTCATAATGTTGGGCCATAACAGCAGCATTGCTAAACCCAGAAGTAAGGAGATCCACAGAGTAGTGTTTTGTCATTATTACATATTTTTAATACTTTCCCATTTTATCACCAGAGTATTGTCCATGAATAAACCCAGTTTGATCAACTTCAATAATCAAAGGCAATATTTTTTTCTAATCTCAAAGCTAACACATTAAACAGTAATTTAAAATCCTTATTGAGAAGGCTGATATGAAGAGCATTCTTCTTCTGGTTTTCTCTTTTCAAGTATGAGGCTAAAATTAGCTCTCAAAGAGATCTAGGCAAAGATTTAGTTTCAAAAGAAAAGTTTAACAGTAATTCCATTACCACCAGAGTAGCTTGAATTCTTTCCAGTATCTTGTTTTTCTAGTTAATTTTTAACAAAAAAACTATCAATTATTACATATAATTAGCATAATTTTTTATTAGTGCTGAACAAAATATTGGTTGAACATCGATATCGCAATGTGTGTATTCGCGATAGTCTCGACGCAGGATTTGATCATTTATTAAAGAATAAAGTTGTTCTTTAATATTATTATATAAATTATTTATACATGGATAATCATGTTATTTTGTGTTTAGTTGTTCAGTTTTTAAATTTATGTACTGTTAGACTCCCAAGAAACCTTTAATTTTTGCTCTCACTTTTTTATATGCTTGTAATTTATTGTTTTTTGCAGATGCACTGCATAGAAAAAGACTTGATCACCCCAGTCGATGTAACTAATGAAATCTTTCTTAATGGGGCTGTTCAAATCATCTGATGAAAATAGAAATATATCACAATGTATATCACAGCAAAACAAAATATCGCAATGTCAGATTTTTCCAATATTGTGCAGCCCTTATTTGTATAATGGGTCATGATGTAATTCAATGTATTTTACTCCTAACACATTCTTGCTGTCATTGTGCAAATGTTGAAGCATTTTGGTTCATTGTTTCATGGAGGATGCTGTTTCTGGCATGCATGGCTTGAATGCTTATGAGATGTCATTTAAAAAAATATCCTTATGTTTTGGATTAGTTGTTATGGGAGTGGCACTGTAATTACTTCAGGGATGTCTGTTTGCCGTTTTCTGGCTCCACTGCTGAGGAGCTTCTTATTAAAGCATTTCTCAGTTTTACACAGAGTTTTTTTTTAACCTATTCAAAAGACATGTTGTGTGTCTTGATGTTGCATTTTAATAATTGTGTTTTTTAATTTTCATTCAAATTTATATGATTTCAGTCTAGGGCTGCACCATATATCATTTCAGCATCCATATTGCTGTGTGTAAATCTGCATTATTCACATTACAGGATTTGCAATGTCAAGTTGAAATTTTAGTAGCCAGTAGGGCTGGACGATTTGGCCTGAAATCTAAATCTCGATTAATTGAACATTTTAACTCATCTACCACTAATGAACGAATATTTTATTCATTTGTTTTGTCCTTATAGTTTACTGACAAGTTTTGTACAGTAAATATGTTCACATATTACAAGTGAGAGCTTTTTAAATGAAGGGTCCATTACTTGATTTTAAAATAATTGGAAGAAACACACACTATCTACTATCTATGATTATGTATTGAACATAAACGTTGAACAACTGAAATTAAAACTCACATGGCCTAAAAAGAGCAGTCAAAAAAGTACTAGTAAAAGTAACTGAAAAAAATGACCTGGAAAATTTGTTTGATTATAGGTTCTGAATGTTGTACTTTTCGATTAATCGCCCAGCCTTAATAACCAGCCACCACAGTTCAGAACGTAATTAGTGGAGTCTGCGCAAAGTTTAACCCTAATATAGTGAAAGGTTTTCATTTGGATGTCTTTCTAAAGACCTGTGCCCTGTGCTTAAACAAAGATTAATTTTATTTATTTATACAATGAAA